GTGGCAAAAATGATACTAATTACAGAGATTTTAAAAAGTCATTGAAAAATATTTTCAGGCTAGGAGTTTCGTGGAGCTTCATATTGTTGGAGCAAGGAAAACAGCATTAAAAAATGTTTTCTGTGATCATGTGCTGGAACTCAAATTAAATCAGAAGTACGACAGAAACAAAAAATTCCACAGCTGCTTCTCTGTCAGTTACGTGGCGATAATCAAGTATTAGTTTAACAGCTTCTTTCTATGTCTAAAGCAATGAAATTAATATATTTTAAGCAAATTTACATATTTTTAAAAATTACTTTCAAATGCCTTTTATTGGGCTTGAAATGATGGTTCTACAAAATTCATTTAATCAGCATATTCAGAAGTAATTTATTCCTTTTAGTTTCTTGTTGGAATGTTATTAAAAGTATGCATGCCAGCAGTTTATATGTATACTATCCAATGTAAATTTCTTGCTATATTTAATGGATAAAATGATAATTACTTGCATAGCGAGGGGAAGTATAAATTATTATCGTAAAAGGAATAAATGGCAACATTAATGTAATCTCTGGAAATAAGATAACATCTTTGTAAGTCTAATAAAAATTAGTATCTTGGGCTAATTAATGGGTGTTCCATTTAGTAATTATAAGCTGTTACCAGTATTTTCTGATCTGAGGATACAAAATAGTGATACATTTATTTTATGTTATTTGATGTGTCAATTTATTTCTAAAGAGCAATTCAGGACAATAAAATGAGCATTCTATTCACTATTTTGGAAGGCAAATACTGTAACATAGGGTTATCTCCTTAGAGTAGTTACCTCAATTCCTCTTGCACTCTCTGGCCATAGGTCCTGGAAGTGTGCTGTTGCCATCGCCTACATCACAGTTCCTACTTTCAGCCCTCACACCTCACCCAACCCCACCCCTTTTCTTAATATGTATGTATACCGGGCCGGGCGCGGTGGCTCATGCCTGTAATCCTAGCACTCTGGGAAGCCGAGGCGGGCGGATTGCTCAAGGTCAGGAGTTCGAAACCAGCCTGAGCAAGAGCGAGACCTCGTCTCTACTATAAATAAAAAAGAAATTAATTGGCCAACTAATATACATAGAAAAAATTAGCTGGGCATGGGGGTGCATGCCTGTAGTCCCAGCTACTCGGGAGGCTGAGGCAGGAGGATCACTTGAGCCCAGGAGTTTGAGGTTGCTGTGAGCTACGCTGACGCCATGGCACTCACTCTAGCCTGGGAACAAAGTGAGACTCTGTCTCAAAAAAAAAAAAAAAAAAATGTATATATACCCTTGAAATGCAAGGCCAGGCCAGGAGTAGTGGCTCACACCTGTGATGCCAGTAATTTGAGAGGCTGAGGCGAGAGGATGGTTTGAGACTGCAGTGAGCTTTGATAGTGTCCCTGCACTCCAACCTGGGCAACAAGAGAGACCCTGCCCCTACCCCCCCCCCAAAAAAAATAAAGGAGAGAAAAAAAATGCAAGGACACCACATAACACATATACATATCTTATTTCGAGGGGCCCAGAGGTCATTTGTGGGCTGCTCCATAATTCTGACCCCCTCCCTCCCTCCACAGCTCACCATTATCCTGATCTTGTGATAAATACTTCTCCATGCTTTTATTTATCATTTAACCAACTATGTGTGCGTCCTTGCATACATCACCCAGTTCTGCCTGTTTGGGGAACAATATATAAATTCCAAGGATGGAAGTGCTACTTTGTGCCTTGCTTCCCTCCCTGAATGCTAAAATTTATCCTTGCTTTTTTACTTACTTGCATTTTATTCATTTCCATGGATGTGTAATATCCTATTACATGAACACACCACAATCCATTTATCTATTTTCACTCACAGTAGACACTTGGGACCCTGGCCTTGTTTCTGGGTTGGGGTTATTGCAAACACACTTTACCAATGCTCTTGTACACACGTGCCCATATGCTGCTGCCCATATGCAGACGTTTCCCTGAGATACACACGAAAAGAAACAGGGCTGCTGGGCCGTGGGGAATGTGTACCCTCAGCTTGGGTGGATGACGCCAAGCTGCCTCCTCCGGGAGCAGCAGTGCTCGCTGGCCTCGCAGGGGCATCGCGAGAGGTTCCCACACTCGGTATTTTCAGACTTTGAAGTTTTTGCAAATGGGCTCGTATATGTAATGGCACTGTATTGCTGTTTTTTTTTGTTTTTTTTTTTTTTTTTTTGAGACAGAGTCTCACTTTGTTGCCCAGGCTAGAGTGAGTGCCATGGCGTCAGCCTGGCTCACAGCAACCTCAATCTCCGGGGCTCAGCGATCCTCCTGCCTCAGCCTCCCGAGTAGCTGGGACTACAGGCATGCACCACCATGCCCGGGTAATTTTTTGTATATATATTTTTAGTTGGTCAATTAATTTATATCTATTTTTGGTAGAGACGGGGTCTCGCTCAGGCTGGTTTCGAACTCCTGACCTTGAGCAATCCGCCCGCCTCGGCCTCCCAAAGTGCTAGGATTACAGGCGTGAGCCACCACGCCCGGCCTGCTGTTTTAATTTGCATTTCTTTTCTTACTACAAAGATCACAGCCTATTTTTCTGAAGTTTATTGGTTTTTTTCCATTTCCTCATTTGTGGAATCTCTTACCAAGTGTTTGGCCCACTTGTTCCCAACTCATCTTTTTCTCATTGATGTGCAGGAGTTTGTCAGAGGTTTCTGAGTATCAGTCATCTGTTGCAAACATCTTCCCTCTCTGTGCCTGGCCTTTTCACTTTTTTCCCCTTTTCACTCCTTTAATGGTGTTTTGGGGGGTTTTGATTAACAAAAAATCATAATTTTAAGGTAGTAAAATGTATTTTATGCTTAATACTTTTTGTATCCTAGTAAAATGGATTTCCACATAAGGAAGGGGAAAATGGAGGTTCCCCTATATTGTCTTCTGAAAGCTTTATAGCTGCGTTTTTCACATTCAGGTGTACATTTCTTCTTGAACTGATTTTCTCATATAGCGTGATAAGAGCCAGTTTATATTTTTTCCATGTGGATACTAGCTCCCAATAATACCACCAATTTGCTGGGGCCCTTCTGCCATGTATCAAGCGTCAGTACATGTGTGGGTTGGTTTCTGGGTTCTCAACCCTGTGCCTCTGGTCAGTTTCTTTATTCCTAGTTGTAAGCTAAGCCATCCTGTGTAGTACTGCTTTCTAATCCCTGCTGATAACAGGTACAGCTAGTCCTCTCTCTCTATTTGTCTTTGGCTATTGTAGGACCTTCGCGTTTTTGATACAAATTTTGAAAACAATTTATCAAGATTTTTGCAAGACCACCTGCTGAGATTTTGACTGAGGTGTGTCTTGACACCTTTACCATATTGAGCCTTGCAACCGATGAACATGCGGTAGGTCTCCATGGAGTGACTCTTCTCTACTGTGTCAAAACAATGCTGTTGTTTTTTGTCCTCTGTAGAAGTCTTGCATATCTTTTGTTAGATTTATCAGGAGGTCCTTGATATTTTTAATGCTATGTTAAACAGTAACATTTAACATTTTACTCTCTAATAGTATTTTTCTGAGAAATTGGGTTACAATTTTTTTATATTAACCTTGTATTTAGCAGCCTTGTTAAAAACCTCATTAATTCTAATTTATTATCAGTAGACCATAGCTCTTCACACACCTGCGTTATTTAGTATGGCTGTGACCAGACAACAGAAAAAAATAACATTTTAGAAGCTTCTGATCAAAATGCATAGCACCCAGTGAGGGAGCCTGGCATCTATCCCATGTTTTATTTATTAGGTCTTGCAGGTGACCCCATGCCAGGCACACTCTAAAAAGTCGCCCATTGTGCGTGGTGGAAGGATCTCAGAGAACAGGAAAAAAAGGCAAGGGTGAGATTGACAAGACTACTACAAAACCTGGGCAAGAAAAGGGCTTTGTTACAAATTTAGATTTCTTGATATTCCATGCCCTTTTAGGACTACGATCTTCCTACTCTCTAAAATGTTCTTCCCTCTTTCTTTTCCATTTTTTTTTACAAAGCCAACTTAAATATCTCTCCCACAGCGAAAGTAGCTCTACACCCCCAGAGCAAGTTGCTCTGTCCTCCAAACATAGTCACTAACTTCATTCTTATCCCCTAATAACATACACCACAGGGTTTCAGTTGCATTTGTCTATTACTCTGTTCCACTCCCTAGACTGTTAGCTTCTAGAGGGTACACCTGTGACCCCCACACTGACGCTGTGCCAAACACCAAATAAGTGCACATAAATCTCAATAGCTGAAAACAAAGCTATATGCATTGGTTTCATCTCGGCTATATCTCACGGACTTAAATCTTGGAGGAATTTATTTTTGGTGGGAGATAAGGGGTCAGAATTCTTTATTTTCATTTATGTTACATAAACCTCATGAATTAAAGTCTTACAGGTGGATGAATCAATCTCTCTCTCAGAGAAATTTTTCTAAAAATGTTAATTTGAGGCAGGATATATACCAAACATGTATTAATTAAAGAAAGAGACATAGATATTTTATGATGAACCCAGGATATAGTGTACATATGAAAATAAAATGGTCAGTGAAGGCCAAAGCTACTCAAACTTCACACGTGGAGAACAGGAAATGCAATATTCTTGGTAAAGGCTCTGAAGATTATTTCAAACCACCAAGTCACATTTTTGGCCTCATGTTTAACAGGACAGAACATAGGTGACGGGGAGGCATAAAAGAGAGAAGAACAAGACTGTGGTTGCACAACGTAATCTTGGTGAAACGTCTTACTTCTCCTAAATAATTTCCTTGTCTATAAAATGAGAGGTGGGTTAGGATCTGAAAACCTCTCCCAGCTCTAGTGTTCTAAAACTCTATGAGAAAACCACACAAATATTTCCACAAAATACGAGGAAGGAAGGAAGAGAGGAGGGAGGGGGGAGGGAGGAAAAGGGGGAGTGGAGAGGCTCACAGGTAAATTTCCTAAATGACATAAAAACGGCAGACGTGAAGATCCCAAGCCCCTTACCTGAAGGCACGCAGTCTTCCCGTCCCCAGAGCCTTCAGTATGGAAAGTTACAAGGCAAAGTCTCCCCCGCCACAAGGCGGCCTGAAATGACGATTTGATGTTATTCATACAGAGACTTTGGATTTGACTAAAAAGCCATAAGCCCCACAATTAGATTCACTTGGGCAGTGTGAACTAAATGATGCAGCAAGGCAAATAAAAATAGCTCTAAGTTCACTCTCCTTGGAAAGACTCCAGTATAAAAAGTCCACTCAACAGTTGTTGGGTTTTGTGCTTTGCAAAAAAGTCCAGTTCTAATTGTAGAGCCATGGAAAGAACTTTCTATCTGGAATCATACAAAGGACACGATCTTGATCTTAGAAGCCATGTTTTCTATAACCATCTTTCAAAGGGATTAATAAAACTCTTTTACTGAATCGACTATTCAATGAAAACAATTCAGTTACTTCAAAACCTTATTTTGGTACGTGTAGAACCAAATAATTATTTGGTCTGAAGTATGATTCGAATGTGTTTGTCCAGCTCCTCATTTTGAAGATCAGCAGACAGGGCTTCAGAAGGCCTTAGTGACTAGCAGCAAGGAATCACATGCAGCTTTCTGACGTGTTGATGCATGTGGTCTCCGTGCAATTGGGAAACACATGTCATGTTCTGCTCTGGAACATTCCTCTCTGGAAAGTGGTATACAGTGTTTCCCAACCTTTGACATAACATGATTTTTAAAGCCCCTTTGTCACTGGCGTTTCACAGAACATTCTAAACCTTCCTATGATATGGGAACCAGCCCTAAGCAAGCAGTTTCTGCACCTTCGGTTAATCTTCACACCAACTCCATGAGGTCTTCTCATGGCTTCTTCTTGCAGACAAGAAGCTCTGGCATTATTCTCCTCCAAGTCTAAATGACTTCAAAACCCACGTTTTTCTCCTACTAAACTCTGCTCTTTCTTTGTATGCAGTAGAGCCCACCATAAAGAGGAGAGTCCCTCGGATTAGTAGCAATCCTGATATAAACCAAGCCTTGGTTTTTAAGGGCTTTGAAGAACTGTCGAACCTTCCATCTGTCTTGTAGGTAGTCCTCATCTCAGTTGCAGTCTTGAGGAATGACGAAAACTCCATTTTGTTTTTCTCCTCCAGGCTGTCATCTGTTTATTGCCTCCAGGAGACCTGGGGCTGCCTGCCTGACTGTGCGTGATGCCAAGTACAGTGATGGGAGCAATGTGTTCTCAAGTGAAAATTATGAACTCCCAAGAAAATACATTAACATATTATGTGCAAATGTAAGACAATGTATAATCAGTACTAGAAACAATATAGTAATGTCACTGAAAACAGAAAGAAATCCCAACTCAGTGGATTTGTATGCATTTCCTTATACTAGGCAATGTCTAGTACTCTATGGATCATTCTTCTACTCAGTTATTAGGGAGCCCAGTCTTGTGGCCTCTTTAAGCTTTCTTCTTAGTCTTCCACCAAGAAACTGGTGCTTACTCATGACTACACTTATAGGGGTCCTCACACATTTTAAACAGGGGGCCAGTTCACTGTCCCTCAGACTGTTGGAGGGCCGTTGGAGAATGCGGTGCACATTCCACACATGCGCACTGTGGGCCTGGGATGAGTTGGCTGCTAAGCAGGACAGGCAGCTGCAGCAAAAATACCCTGCGGGCCAGATAAATCTCCTCGGTGGGCCGCATGACCCACGGGCCGTAGTTTGAGGACCCCTGCAAAACCCAGGGGAGCTTTTAGAATTGACTCTGATTCTGACTTAATTTGTTGGGGGAGAAGGATGAAGCAGGCATCAGTATCATTTAAAAAGCTTCTCCCTCCCCCAGGCTGAATTTAAAGTGCAGCCAGGTTTGAGATTCATGGTCCAACTTCAGCGTCTCTCTGAGAAAACCATCTCATACAGACAACTGGGAGTAGTTGTTTTGTTCCAGGAAAAAAAAAAGTCACTGGCAGAATCATTGTTTCAGTCATCATTTATAAAGGACATTCTGTTTTGACATAAACCCTCCATAAAGAAAAATAAAACTAACCTGTTTAACTCATAACTAGCAGCAGTTTTATTGTTCAAACGTATTTCAATCTGTTGAGATAACATTAGCGCAAGCATTACAGATTTACCTATATTTTAATTTGGGTCCCTGTTCTCACTCACTCTGTTCCCAGCTAGTTATCTTTAAAGATTATAGGTGGATTTTACACGTCTAGAATAAAAGAACACTGGATTTAGAGTCAGAGACCTGACAACGTTTTTCCTGCTAGCTGGATAATCTTGAACAAATCACATACCTTTGAAAGCTCTCAACTTCTCTTTCTGCATCAAGAGGACACTAAGAAATGCCCTAATAACATTATGAGAGTGGTGTGAGAATTGAGATGAATTTTGTGTAAGTACTCTGTATGCCGTAAATTGCTACGCAAAAGAAAAGTAAATTCTCACCTAATGGGTATGGTGTATGGTCTACGGGTTGGGCACACTTGTAACTCTGACTTGGGTGGTGCAAAGGCAGTATATGTAACCAAAGCGTTTGTACCTTCATGATATTCTGAAATAAAAAAATAATAATTTAATAAAAATCAACTGTCAAAGAAAAAGGAAAATCAGTAGAATTATCTTTTTTGCTGGATCTATAATATTTACATGGCAGTTACTTTTGCAGCTTTGTCTATTTGTGTCCAAATATCATTTCTACTTTCTAGCATTGTATTGGGTTTTCCACCATCCCATAGGTGCAGATTTGGTTCCTGACCACTTTTCCCCTAAATAATGTGTCTCCAATCTATCTGAAGTTGCAAAAACACACACTTACTTGCCTTACAGTGCATGAAACTCCTGTCAACATAATTCCCTCTTTCCGTGGATGCAATGCCCTGGGCACATAGCAGTCTTCAGGCCAGAGGGTATCTCACAGGAAAGGCCTTGTTAAAACAAACAGCTGGCTCCACCCCCCAGAGTTTGGGATGCAGCAGGTCTAATTTGAGACCCAAGAATTTCATTTCTAACAAGTCCCCAGCCAAAGTGCTGGTACTGGTTTGAGCACCACACTTAGAGAACTTTAGACAAATAACCATAATAATTTGTTTAAATAAAACTTTAGATATCTGAAAAATCCAGATTTTTGCATCTTTTAAATACCTACTTATAGACCCTTGAACTTTAAGTTTTTCCATTTTAGGGCTAATAAGATACTGATTTTTACTTCTGCTTGTCATCAGAGGAAAATATTTTGATGTTCAAAACAAAGTAAACAAAAGCAAGATGAAACATCAGATCCTGAGCTTTTAATAAATAAATTATTTGAAAGCTTTATAACTTGTTTTGCTTCCCAAATCTTCTTAAAGACATGATTAGCACTAAATTTGTATCACAGTTTCCTTGTTTATTATAAACTCAGTCAAAAGTCCATGCTGTGGTATGTAAAATAAGCTCTAATGATGCATTTGGTGTACCTCCTGCTGCTGTATTTGAATGTTAATTTTGAAATTAAAAAAGCCATACCTTCTTTAGAATAAAGTCAATAAAACAACACAGGCTATTGCATTAACATTATTTACATAAATCCAGGAACTCAGGAGGAGTTTACAACCTTGAACTTGTTAAAGAAAAAGCAAAAGGTTCTCTTCATGTTTTGAAAGAAGGGAGTCTTGGTTTTGAACAGCATTTGCTAAAAACAAAGATTGATATTTCCTATAGAAAGGAAACCAAAGTAATCTTTTTAAAAATACAAATGTTTACCCATGAGGGCTGTTCAGTGTCAGTATGACATTTGGAGATGACCCTTAATGATCTCTTCTCCCCTCTCACATTTAATTTTTCTCTCTCATTATGTCATTATGAAAGGTATTTTTTAAAAATCACCTTTAGATGGATCTCCTGAGGCCCTTGATTTCAGTTTTCATGATTATCATTGTGATTTAATACCCCTGAGGTTGGACCCCTTACTATCTATTAGGGGCTAGCAGAAGGCCCTATAGAAGAGTCTAACATTACTGGGGCTTGGAGTCAGGAGGTAAGGGGTGAATCCTTGGGGAAAATGAAATGCCTTTGTGGCAAGGTGAGAAATTGTCCTTCTGGGCCTGGCGGCTTTAACTGTATGCTTGTCAAGGTCCTGCCATTTGCTGGATGGTGTTGGTGATCAGGAACATCATACTGCTACAGTGTTCACAGGCAAACTGCCCACCATGTGCTTTAAATTCTTGTCTCAAACTGGCATCCACACCCAGTGGAACCTAACATTGCTGTCCAGCCTGTGCTGACCAACTAGGATTTTAAAGCCAATAATTGTCTGTCTGGAATCTCACCTTCCTTCTTTGAGGGCTCCCTTTAAATACATACGTATTTATATGCGTGTGTGTGTTATAAATGTGCTAAAGTCATTTTATTTATCTCAGCACAGAGTAGGAGTGGTTTTAAACTTTCAGCTAGAAAAATGTCCCACCATTTACAGATGCAGGAAACACGGTGTGAAGGTTTCCCAGTCTCGGCCTCTGTGACCACATTATCCTTTTCTGTTGTTCTGGCTGTCAATTTCTAGATAGCCAAATATGTCAAATTTTAGTGGTTTGCATGACAATTTTATTCTGTCTCATAATTCTCAGGAAATTGGTCAAAGACCATCTGGGTGAGTCTTCTGCTCCATGTGAAATAGATTGGGCTCACCTGGTAATGTTTTGCTGGCAGCTGGGCTATTTCAGAGACACCAGGTTTCAGGTAGATGCCTGGAGTCTGATCTGGGATGGGTGGAACATTCCATGTTCATTCTTCACATGGATTCTCCATGCGGCTAGCTTAGTCTTCCTTCCATCAAAGTGGTCTTAGTGTGTTTCAGTATCTTAGATGACAGCTCAGGGCTCCAGGAACAATTTAGGTTTCATTTCCTTCCACTGAGAAATAACTAGTTTAATAGCTATTTCAAAAGGAGAAGAAGGTAAAGTTTCTACATTTTTTCCTCTAAAATAGTTTTATTTCATCTCTACCTTTGAAGAAATAATTTTAAGAGGGTATAGAATTCTAGATTGTCAATTTTCTCTCAGTATTTTAAATAATTTTTTCACTAAATTCCAT